CTTGTTTCGATAGTGTTCGTATGTGTAATTGTGGAACCATTCCTGCGTGAGCTAGACACCGCATCGACTTCTAATATATTACCACATGTTACACGTGTGGTAACACCAGATTTACATACCCAAGCTCCTATGTATGACTCATCTATATCAAACGAACCGAGAATATGATATACCTCAAAATCTGAATCGTTTATCCTTATGGCCGGGGAAGCGATTTTTTTAGTATTTTTCAAGATAAATCCCCTATCGTTACCATCTTCAAAATCTTGGAAAACCATTGGCCCAATATAATCATCTTCTTCAAGTCTTGTCGGCGGCCCCACCCTATCCCATGATAGATGATAAAAAGAAACAAGTCCTTTCTCATCAGGTGTGTTATGATCTTTACAATGCCCTGCGGTCGTAAGGAGGAGACTTTTATTAAAAGTCACCCAGAATCCAGCACTACATTTAATTTTAAAAGTATGTATGCCTTCTCCGGCAAGAATTGGAATGTCTATTCTTCTGGGTTGCGTATGAACCTCTTTTTCTATAGGTCTTGAAGCAAACGGATTAGCCGAATCAAACGAGTTAAATCTTACTTCTTTCTTATTCAACGGTTTAAAATCTTTTTCACCACTATCGAAAAATTCTTTGTTATGAAGTATAATCGGATTAAATTTTTTGGCACTGTCTATGAATGCTTGGTTATTTTCATTATGATTTAACCGTATTTCTATATTATTCTTTTCGTAATTTTTACTTAACACAATTTTGGTCACATTGTGTTCTTCAGCCAATCTATCTAATTCTTTAAGAGTGGAATCCAATTTGGCTAAGGAATTTTTCACTTTTATGAATGATAATAAACTTTTATATTTTTTTATAGTACGGTGGTTCATTATATTTTTATTCTTAGTTGGATCTGTTGTGTAGATTTTTATTTTATTTTCTTTTAGATCTATAGAGGATCCACAATAGATTCTGTCATTTAGTAATGGTATTACTTTACTGTTTCCCTCGATCAAGGTTTTCTGTTTAAGCAATAAATCAGGTACTTTGCCTTCTGGTACCTTCAAATATTGTGCAAGTTGTGAGAAACGGGCATATGCTGTCAAATTATTTCGTAACAGCAACGAAAAAAGTAATAACTTTAAAATAACTTTCATGATAACTAATGCTGTCAATAATTTTGACTTTGAGTTTTTATATAATTTACCGTCTATTAATTCTAGACATTTTTATTTCTTTCTCCAATAAACTATAGATATTATTTACCATTTCGATTTTAAGACTTTGTTTCACAAACAAAAATTTACTATAATGATATCACATATTATACATCAAATAGATTCATACTCTTGTAATTGTGTTTACTAATTCCCCACACTTCACTATCGGAGTACCATAAAAGTGTGGGCGTTCAAGATTTACCGTAAATCATTGTATACATGATACGGGTCTCTTATACTAGATAAGCAGATTAGATTTTTCAGGTCAAGGGTAATTACCCGGTTACGGCTATACTATATGTTATCATATGTTCTCTTGTCTCCACCTTTAAAGCAGACTCTAATGTACGGTGCATCTGTAATACCATTTACCATTGTAATCTACATTTTAAGCCTCTAAGTCCGTCATATCATTGACAAATCCTAATTTCAATGGAATTATTTTATTTTTTTGATCATGAACATTAATTACTTAATCATTGTATACATTTTTCGGAATTCAAAAGAAATATTCAATGTAGTAACAGGAAGTACATTACGGCGTATTTTCCAAAAAATAAACTGTCATCATTAATTGTTTTTTGACCATTTCTTATTGTAATCACATAATAACATCTAACTCATCTTTAATAATATGGGTTTAATAATGGTCATAAAAATTATGATGATATATTTTATTCATTCTATATTAGGTTCGTACACATTTTTGCAAATATGCCGTAATAAATTTCATTTTCCCACAATAATTTTACTGACAATTAAGGTTAGCCAATTTATAGTTAGGGATAGTGCTCCGAACGGGTCGGGTCAGGTTATGAGCCAACCCGAACCCGACCCGAAACTTCAGGTCGGGTCGGGTGGCCAATCTTCGGGTTAGAGCTTCAACTCGACCCGAACCCGACTCGACCCGACTAGTGATGGGACCCAAATCTGATAGTTTTGGCATCCCAAATTAGCAAACTAGTTTGGGACTTAGGATAACTGCATTACGGCAATTTGGGATTGGGAATTTGGATGATTTCCAAAATCCAAACACTGTCGAAATTCGCTGTAAATAGTTTGGGTCCCATCACTAGACCCGACTCGAACCCTACCCGAAATTTTAGGGCAAATATACAGTATTAAATTTTTTTAAAAAAATGAATTCAATCGTCTTTTTTGCTCTTAAACGTTTAAAAATTCATGTAACGATGATCTAAGTGCGTTATGCTTATAAAAAAGAATCGTGCATTGCATATTCAGAATCAATGAAAGATTTTTTTATTTTTATTCTATGATTTATGGAATTAATATAAAAAAATTTATCGATTTTGGGTTGGTAGCTGTCGAGATGTTATCGTTCAAAGTTAGGCAATTATTAAAACAAAGTTTGCAGTTAAGTTTTTCCAAACTTTGATTGATAATACCACGATAACTGCCCATATAAAATCGATTAAAGCTTTTTTATTTTTATTCTATGCTATGGATTGGATAGGTAATTGCTGAAATATTTTTGTTCAAAGTTCGTAAAAAGTATATAATATTATTACTAGGGATCTTTAATTTCATTAGCTTGAGATATCAATAAATATGCACCAATCAGATCTCTTCGAAGAATCAAACTAATTTTAATATATATAATATTTTAAAGTAAAAAACCTACATTAAAGATAGATTAGAAATTAGAATATTTTGATATTTTTTGCATCAAATTTTTGCAAGGAATTTTTTAATATTAGAGTGCAGAAAGTGGTTTCATAGTCAAAATTTCAAGTTATGTATCAACAGTTTTTTAAAAAATTCACGCTATACCTAGTGATGTGCCGCATACAGTACTATACGTACTGTATGTATTGTACGTATGCTAAAATTTTGCCAATCACTTTCTCCAGCCAATCAGATGCCAGAAAAGAGCTATACATACAGTATGTACTGTACGTACTGTATACTAAAAATTTTCAGGTATCATATAACTAGCACATCACTGGTTATACCTAATCTAGCTTTCTTAATACGTAACTCTAGCTGTCGCTTACAGCAGATTCTTGATTTTGATTGGATAAGAGTAATAATCAAAATTTTGGCCAGAATTACTCAGAATTTTACTTATAAAGCCACAGCTGCCTATTACTAGCACTGCATACAGTACCTGGAATAACAAATAATGTAGATCAAAATTTTAAATTATTATTTATATATGCCATGTGATGTAAACAATTGTGTAATGCATGTGATTTTTAATTTTCACTATGTGTCACACTGGGCAAAGTTTACCATAATATGGGATTATTATTCAAAAATTCAAAATGTTAATTACAGCTGGAAATTAGAGATTTGTGACTATTAACCAATCAAAATCGAGGATCTGGCAACAATTTTTTGTCGATCATTTGAGATTGGTGCATACTTGTCAGTCTTTTGAGGTTTTATTTAAATTATTATTTAAAAATACATATGTACTTACTATTATAAACACATGTACTTGCTATTAGAACCAAAAAAAAACATATAAAATGCTTATTTTGAGCATCTCTAATTTGGATATTTTTCAGGTCAGGTCGGGTTCAGTTCGGGTTAACATTCAATGAAATTTTAGGGTTAGATTTTTCTAACCCGAACATGGCCTGACCCAAAATTTTGGGCCGGGTTTCGGGTTGACCGACTCGACTCGGAGAACTAGTTAGGGATAGTCTGGTTTAAAGCTGGCATTGGCTAGTATTAAAAGTCAGTGAAATACAGTAACTGTCGGTGTAACGGGTGAAAGTCTTATTATAATAAATGCCGCACAGTATAGGTAACCTTACTTTATAATCAATGATTAGTAAAAAAAGAAACTAACAAAACTTCATTTTAAAAATAAATAATGTGTGAAAATAAAGTTAGCTACAAGTAATGATGCAGCATTGAGGTAATTAATTGCGACCGATTATAGTATTGACGTAGTTGTAATTTCGGCCGTATTAAAGTACTGTGTCATAATCGTAATTCTTGTACTTGTAGTATCTGGTATGGAATAAACTACGTACGTATATACATGTGGCGCAATTAATTTATTACATATGTACTCGGAGATTATTTTAATTATGTATATAAATAAAGGTTTAATTTAATTTATTTTATTTTATATTTTTTTTTCTTTACAGATGAAGAATCATGAAAGTTCGGATGATATAACATTGAAAATGAAGTATCGGTTGCAAATAAATGAAATTGGTTTAAAATTAACATTTATTAATAAAACACCTACACTAAGCAGGCCGCCAGAAATTCGGACCAGAGAAAAAGGATCCAAGCCGTGGATACCGGAACTAGGGATAGGAATCGGCTATATATGATTTAGTCGACTAAATCGACTAAACATAGTAATTTATATATAAATTTTTTAGTCGACTAAATCGATTACTATCCCTAACCGGAACTGTATGTTTAAGAAAATATATTCAACCTTTATTTATACAGATTTTAGCCGATCCTTGTCGATCACTACTCAAATTTGCAGATCATTTAGCTCTGGAGATGAGTTTTAAAACTCATCTCCGGGGCTATTTTGGGAGTAGTGATTGACAATAATCAGCTAAAAATCCGCCCGGGTTTTCTTTTTTGCATTGATCTATCATAATATAAGTACATACGTACGTACGTATGTACTAGGGTAAATAATCAAAACTATGTGAGCAAGCTGTTAAATTTGATATAATAGATTTTTTATGTTACATAAATGAAAATCATATTACATATCGATATCGATATCAATATTTTAAGCGATACATTCTAATGCTCCAACTCATTATTGAGACATGGAATTATCTTGAAATTTTCACAAGTTGTTTATAAAATGTTCAAAAATAAAACTATGTATTTAAATTCTGGTATCTGTCTTGCGGAATGCGTTAAATTTCATTAATTAGAACGAAAAAAACTATCTTAAACATGCAACATTTAATCAAAAAATCAACATAGTTACTTTCAGATATTAGTGGCGCAGTGTTTTCAATCGAAAGAAATCAGATAAATAAGTAAAATTTTTGTGGGAAAACGTTAAAATTTTACGCTTTTCTTTATAATTAAAAGGGTTAAAATCGTTTGATTGATCATTTTTTAATTTTGCTAATAAAAATCTGATCAGCTGATTTACTTAATTGAGTAACCACCCTAGTACGTACTGTACGTACGTACGTACCTAACTGCTAATCAGCGACATACTGTATAATGCGTAATTGAATGCATATATATGGGGTCTTTCATATTAAAAGGGCCCATTTTGCAATATAAACAATTTTGAGATAATTGAGTTTAATCATTTGTTTTGAT